TCGGCGGTTCACCGTCCGCATAGATCAGGGGTCCTCAAACTACGGCCCGCGGGCCACATGCGGCCCGCCGAGGACATTTATCCGGCCCGCCGGGTGTTTTTTCCGCCGCTGCCTGTCTGTTACTTTTTTTCTACATGAGAAGGACGGTCATTGGTGGAAGAGGGAGAGGGGGCGGAGTTCCCCCCAATCAGACTGCATTGATGGGCAGTGCAGTCTGTATGTCTCTGTGTGGGCAAAGTTATTGCTGGTATATTGTTTTTGTAGCGCTGTATATATATTGGTATTTTACTAATAGCAATTTTGACTCCCTAGGAAACAATGATGTCAAGAAAGAGAAAAATTGACTCGGAGTGTAGGATATTCAAAGAACAGTGGACTTATGATTACTTTTTCATGCAGTACAAGGAAAGAGCTGTGTGTCTGATATGCCAGAATATAGTGTCTGTGTTCAAAGAATACAATTTACGTCGACACTATGAAACTCAACATAAAGATAAATATGATTGTTTGGTCGGAGAAGTGAGAAAAGATAAAATATTAAAACTGAGAAATACATTAGCAACTCAGCAAAATACTTTTGTAAAGCAGAAGCAGCTAAATATTTCATCACTGCAAGCAAGTTTCAAGTTGCCAAGCTAATAGCGTGCACTGGCAGACCATTCGTGGAGGGAGAATTTGTTAAAGAATGCCTTCTTTCTGTTGCCAAAGAGATGTGTCCAGAGAAGGCCGATTTATTTAGTACAGTGAGTCTTTCAGGACCTACAATTACACGGAGGATTGAAGAAATGGGAGACAATTTGCATCAGCATTTGCAAAACTCCACAAAAAAACTTTCCTATTTTTCCTTGGCACTCGACGAAAGCAATGATGTTCGTGATTCTGCACAACTTCTAATTTTTATTCGTGGGACGAATGACTATTTCGAAGTCACAGAAGAGCTTGCTGCACTTGCAAAGCATCAAAGGAACAACTATAGGAGAGGATATCTTTCGATTTAAAGCTTTCGTGCCTGCAGGGATTCATCTTCTTGGTTCTTTCGGTAAAGTCACATAGAAGGGAAGTAATAAAATAATAAAAGTAAAAGATAATAAAATAATTCTCACGACGTTTCGGTCACAACGCAAGCAGCCGTCCTCAGGTGAAAACCAGGTCTGTTGGGGAGACAGCGTCTGAATGAAACAGCACACGAGCTTGGAGCATATATAAGCTGGGTTGGAAACGGGGGAAAGAGCGCCTTGACAAAATAATTAGCATATCAAGAGGAATTTAGCATATGTATGGGAAATGCAGGAATGTGATTAGTACTACATAAGCCCGTGCTGCATATGTAGTACTAATAACATTCCTGCATTTCCCATACATATGCTAAATTCCTCTTGATATGCAAATTATTTTGTCAAGGCGCTCTTTCCCCCGTTTCCAACCCAGCTTATATATGCTCCAAGCTCGTGTGCTGTTTCATTCAGACGCTGTCTCCCCGACAGACCTGGTTTTCACCTGAGGATGTCTGCTTGCGTTGTGGCCGAAACGTCGTGAGAATTATTTTATTATGTTTTATTTTTATTATTTTATTACTTTCCTTCTACGTGACTTTACCGAAAGAACCAAGAAGAGAGGATATCTATGAAAAGGTTTGCCAAACTGTGAATGGTTTGGAGCTGAACTGGGCTAAACTAGCCAGTGTGACAACTGATGGCGCTCCTAGCATGGTGGGGTCTAAGAAAGGAGTAATTTCTCGCATTAACCAAGAGATGGACAAACATAACCATTCTCATCCAATAGCCATACACTGCCTCATCCACCAACAAGCGCTGTGTAGTAAATCACTGAAGTGGGACTCTGTTATGAAATTTGTGGTATCTTGTGTTAACTTCATTAGAGCTCATGCACTAAACCACAGACAATTTCAGGAATTTCTGTTTGAGCTAAATTTTGACTATGAAGATGTTCTGTATCACACAGAAGTCCGTTGGCTGAGTCGAGGGAGAGTTTTGAAACGTTTCTATGACTTACTTCCACAGATTACAGCTTTTCTGCTTTAAAAAAACAAAGAAGTACCAGAGCTCAATGATGCAGAATGGAAATGGCACCTTGCCTTTCTGACAGATGTAACAGAGCTACTCAACAGTTTCAATGTGCAACTTCAAGGAAAGGGGAAGCTCATCTGTGATATGCAATCACATGTCAAAGCATTTGAAGTAAAATTAGGCCTCATCAAACAAGTGAAGGAGGAAAACTTCTGCCATCTCCCCACAACTCAAAATCTGTTAGCGGAAAAACCATTGGTTGCATTCCCAAACAAAACATGTGTGGATTCACTGGAAAAATTGCAAAAGGAGTTCCAATTTGGATTTAAAGAGCTTCATCTCCATGAACAGGACATACAGCTTTTCCGTAACCCATTTTCTATTGACATTGAAAATGTGGATACAATTTACCAAATGGAACTGGCTGAACTGCAGAATTGTGACTCTCTAAAAGACGCATTCAAGTCAAGCAGCCTTCATAATTTCTATGCATCTCTCCCCTCTGAGACATATCCTCATCTCAGGAACCATGCACTCAAAATGGTAACCATCTTTGGCAGCACTTATGTCTGTGAACAATTTTTTCCAGAATGAAACATTTGAAATCTCCAACCAGATCTAGACTAACGGATGCACACTTGCATCACTTGTTACGACTAGCAGTGACAAATATGGAACCGGACATTGACCATCTCATTAGCCAAAAGCAGGCCCATAGTTCCCATTGAAATACTGGCAAGTTTGTTGCTTTAACTTTACTTGTTCTTCATTTTAAATATTGTATTTGTTCCCGTTTTGTTTCTTCACTTCAAAATAAGATATATGCAGTGTGCATAGGAATTTGTTCATAGTTTTTTTTTACTATAGTCCGGCCCTCCAACGGTCTGAGGGACAGTGAACTGGCCCCCTGTTTAAAAAGTTTGAGGACCCCTGGCATAGATCATGCGGCGCTGCAGTATGCTTGCGGGTTCAACAGCCATCGGGACAATTGTCTCGATGGTTGGAAATCCTTCAGGATTTCGATTTTGCGACTACCTATCGTAAGGGCACTCGCCACACCAATGCGGACGCTCTGTCCCGGTTACCACCCACTTCTGAGTGCGCTTGCCTGCTGGGTTCGTGGCGTTGCAGACCTCCGAATGTCAGCTCTAATTCGGTTTTAGCAGCCGCCGCCGATGCGCCTTCCGTTGCCGGTCCTATCGAGCAAGAAGGGAGGGATTCCTTGCTGGGGTTGTCGGTTGCGGAGTGGGGGCGCCTCCAAATGGAGGACACCTCCCTCCTCGCTTTGCGCCGTCGCGTCGGGGGAATCGTGCGGGGGGGTGAAAATGTCGACGCGTGGTCAGAACTAGAATGAACGGAGGGAGAGGCCACGCTGAAGCGGGGTCCAGGCTGCCACGTGGCCGCGCGTGTCTCTCTCTCTCTATCCCTCTCACGCTGCCTGTCAGTAGCGTGGAGGAGTGTTGTAATGAAAGACAAATAAAGACGGATTCCAGAAGTCGCTTCTACGACCTTTATTACAATAGCAATGATGTAAATTATTTCCAGAATAAAAAGACTCACAGGATCCTCCCCGAATATGGTTTGGCACCACAGTCCTGCCCAACTGAGTGCCCGGAGAAAATCCACCACAGTTACGAGGTGGTGCCACTCAGCACCGTCATCTCCTGACCATCTCTGGCATCCCATGCCAACAACACCTGGTGGTGGTACCTGGTGGTCACTCATCCAACTACCGACCAGGCTCAATGCTGCTTAGCTTTTTAGGCAACGATCACAATTATTCCGACACTTATTAATTATCTACACTATGGGAACCTCATTTGCCAATAAAAATATGATAATTGGTTTTTTACCCTTCTATCTGGCAACAAAACCTGCAGTCATAATACAAACAAAAGACATAACTCTGATAATGTGCACTGTCCTTGAAGTTGATTGGTCCACACCTTTTGGCGTCATCTGGTCCAACCCATGTGAGACTAGGCTCTAAGGAAAGCTGTCTCGGGTGTGGACCAATCAACTTCAAGGACAGTGCACATTATCAGAGTTATGTCTTTTGTTTGTATTATGACTGCAGGTATTGTGGTCTATGCAAACATGACTCCTTGTAAAAAGGTGTCAGTTTTGTTGCCAGATAGAAGGGTAAATAACCAATTATCAACTTATTAATTAGTCGCAACAAATTAAACATTATTTGAATGTTTGGCTGAAAATCAGAGGATCTCCTGGTGATCACTGGCATGCTGTATGAGGGGATGGACCTTTGACTCTGTCGTGAATATGTTTTAACACGATTCCAAGGACTCTTTTAGGACAAAGTTGACCTCATGGAGGGCCAGTAAACGTTCCAAAACCGGTGTACATGGCCGGGAATAAATCCCAAGTTGTGATAAGCACTACTACTCATTCGGACGCTGTCTTTCCGACAGACCTGTTCTTCACCTGAGGACGGCTGCTTGCGTTGTGGCCGAAACGTCGTGAGAATTTAATATTTTATTTTTATTATTTTATTATTTCCCTTCTACGAGACTTTACCGAAAGAACCAATAAGATGAATCCCTGCAGTCACGAAAGCTTTAAATCGAAATCTTAAAGTGACTATGTGACTATGTGCAAACTGAAAATCCAGGGGAAAAAACAGCAAAAATTCCAGAAAAAAATGCACCGTACACACCAACACTGTGTAGAAAAATCCCAGGGGATGCAAGTCAAACAACAACAACCAAAAGACAAATTTAGATTAAGGCCATCAGGTCTAACTCCGTACTACAAGAAACAAACATGGCCAAATCAAAAACTTTTCGAAATCATCAAATAAAGCCATTAAAGCAATGAAACAGTGATCATAGGAACTGTGACCGAATTTTCACAATAAACGACAAAACAACACCAAACCCTGCAGCCATAACTGGCTGCATGAGCCTGCACTCATACAGTACCAATATCCGTAGGTGGTCATTTTGTTTTCCTTACCCCTTCAGGTGGTGAGGCAATCCAGCCAGGCTCCCCCAGTGCGCTCTTTGAGTCGAGGATATTGACTGCAGGAGACAAGGCGCACATTCAGCCCCGAACAGCTGGTCGTCACAACGTGGGGATGTGCAGAGCCGCGAGGCCGGGGAGACACATCAAGTCAAACACAATGAGAGTCACATGGTTTTACTGGTAGGAACCCTCTTGGTACACCAGCCCACAGGAGGATTATTTGTGTCCGCCGTGCAAAGAGGGGCTGGGTAGGGGCGGGTGGGGAAGGGCTGGGTGGGTAGGGGCCGGGGGTGGGGAGGGGCTGGGTGAGGGAGGGTGGGGCTGGGTGGGTTGGGGAGGTGCTGTGGTGGGTAGGGCTGGGTGGGGAGGGGTTGGTGGGTAGGGGCTGGGTGGGGGAAGGGGTTTGGGGAGGTGGGAATGGGTGGGGGGGGTCGGGAGGGGCCCTGTAGTGTGGGTAGGGGTTGGGAGGGTAGGGGCTGGGTGGGAGGGGTCTGGGTGGGGAAGGTGGGGCTGGGTGGGGAGGGGCTGGGTGGGAGGGTGGGCTGGAGGGGTGGGGCTGGGTGGGAAACGGCTGGTCACCCCGTGGTGCCCTTATCACCGTTTGAACCTACTCCGCCGGCTTGTGCCCGCCCTCACAGTCGGGCATATTGGTGGAATACCACCACGCCGCTGTTGACCCTGCAGGCCATTGACCCGAGCAACCCAACGTTCCTACCAGCTCCCTCCGCAGCAGCAGGACGATGTGTTTGTTGGTGAAGTGTGCGGGTGAACACTCTGCGACAGCAATGGCACAATGGCCATGCATTTTCCCCGACTCTACTCAAGGTAAACCAAGCGAGTGGGGTCATCTGTCAGAGATACCAATGGGAAATGTCGTATCGCTGACATCGTATTCTCTGGATTATAAGACCCCCCCCCTGCCCCCCTGCATAATTAAAATTTCTTATTTTCAGCAGCATTTTATATTCTCGAGAATACGGTGTTAATATACAGTCTTGGGTGTAAAACAAACGATTATTTAAAAATGAGGCTAAAATGTGAAGTATTTTATTTTCCATCATTGACATGAAACTTTTTTATCTCACTGAACCAGTTATCTGCTTACAGGCACATTGGACTCAACACAAACTCCCTCTGCAAACTACCGTGGATGGGCCCTACCAGGCTCCAGGAGACAACTTGAAATTCCAAAAAGGCCCCGTGGATGTTGTTGAAATCGTAGAGGGATTTCTCTTCGTAATGTTTTGCCTCCGAAACGTCGTGAATTATTATGTTTATTTCTATTATTTTTTTTATTTTTTCTACCTACGTGACCTTTACCGAAAAAGCCTAAGACTATGAATCCTTGCAGTCACGAAAGCTTCACATCTAGAATATATCAAAGTTTCAAAGTTCAATGTATTAGGTATAGCCTGTGAACCATCGGCTCTTGAATCGGGTGCAATCGCAACAACACAAAAACTAAAACATGAACAAAAAACATCTCAAAGTGAATATGTAACTGAGTGCAACAGAAAATCCAAGAAAAAGACAGCAAAATATTACAGAAAAATAGCACCGTTACACACCATACGCTGTGTGCAAAATCCCACTGGGATGCAATGTCACACAACAACAAGACAACTTAGATTAAGGCCATCAGTCGAACTCTGTACTACAACAACACAAACATGGCCAAACCAATACACTTTTCGAAATCACCAAAAATCAAGCCCATGAAAGCAATGAAACAGTGATCACAGGAACTGTGACCGAACTTTCCACAATAAACGACGTAAACACGTACAGAAGTTGGCGGTGTCTCTCTCTCCTCTCTCTCTCTCCACGTGCCCCGTCACATTCACGATGAAAGATGCGGAGCCGGCAAAGAGCGATGATGCTTGAGCCCCCCACCCCACCCCGCCCCCCACTCGCCTCGTTACCTTCGTGAGCGACGCAGACGGCGAGGAGAGACCCCAGAAGACTGGCGCTTTGCAGGAGCGTGGAGGAGACGGATCCAGGCGCCATGAGGCTGATGGATCGTGGTGCTGGTGGATTGTGGAGCTGGTGGATCATGATGCTGGTGTGATTGTGGA